AATATGTGTATACAGTATGATCAGTCGGTGGCTATTGAAGAGGAAGAAAGGTTTCCTAAACATAAAAAGAAATTTGATTTTGAGATTTCCAGCATGATTGTTCAACAGATATTTCGAAAATTGACGGTTTCCATGGCTCAAAATCGATGTTTTTTTATTTATATGAAAAAGTCGGTGTCTTCAAGCGGCTTGAAAGTATTGTACTGCATCGTGAAATTTATATTGATGTTTGGCCGAATTTTCTCGGGGTTTATGTATGTACTGCATATATGCATGCTTTGTGTTCTAGAATCAAAACATCGTGCTGAAGACTTGAGGAAATTCGGTGTTCATCAAGTACAAGGCAAACCTACAGTATTTTATCCCGAATAAAGGCTTATATTTTTTTAAGGAGGCTCGTAGAAAGTACAAAAGAAATAATGAGTTAAAAAATTGTATGTGTTTCGAATTCTATAATTAGTATAATCGAGATGATTGTTTTCTGGAATCTTAAGTGGCGAAAATGTTCTTGTATTTTTAGAGGATTTGAAGGAAACGATGTGTTATACGCAGCAGATTTTGTTGCTCGAAATGTCACTGTACTGAATGCTTTTCTTATTACATTACGGTTGGGTGATCATCAGGACCTATTTTTAGGGTTGAGTTTATTCTATTCGGATGGTTTCCGTACATGGTCCTACACACCTCCTACAGCATAAAGGGCGTGTTCAATGACTATCCCACATTTCTAGGGAACATGGCTAACTAAAAAGAAATTCCATTCTGTATAATGCGCGATGCTTCAATTTGACAGCTATGAACTCAATTGCTTAGTTGGTCCCAGATTTCGTGGAAATCACACGAAGGTTACGTCTTCAGGGACTTCGAAGTGGCTTATCGGAAATGACTGCGTTGCAAAATCAATTTTGAAGTCAAATTAATCGATCGAAACATTGTTTTTCGTCCATGAAAATTATAGTTTATTATTCAAGTTGAATCATTTTTGATCGGTTTCGACATACTGTATTACCTAATTAAATTGCCCTGAGGTCTAGGTTTTATTTACATAAGATTTGCGTTGCGTGATAAGTTCACGACGCGCATCTGCGACTCTTTCTATGCACCTTTTAGATGATAATTACTGTTCTTTCGTGCGTACTGTACTTTATAAAACTAATGTACTTCAGTCCGAACGAGATTATCGTCTGGATTTTTAATTTTATTCTGCCAGTTAAACTTCCGGCGGTTGAGGCAATAACCAGAACCGGTTCGTGGCAAAGGCTGATGAAAGTTGACTCTCGGAACGTCGAAAAAATGCTCAAGGAAGCTTTGAAACAGTACTGTACAGTACTTCCGTACCAAGCGCGCCACAGGAAACAGAAAGTTTTAAATTTTTAACTTGGATTGAAAGGGGATTTTGTAAGATGCGAAGTAGCTTCTTGACGCATTTGCCAAGAAAATCAGCTGGGTATTGTACACCGTTGAAACACTTTTCATTGTACAGTACTGTGCTGCAAAGTCTCGCTACAACGAATTTCGTGATAACTTATTATTTGCTTCACTTCTAAACATACGCGTTGAAATCCCCACAACAGAGAGATATATTTCTATTCTTACTACTCTATAAGGATTATTCTAATTTTTGTTCTGAATGTCCTTTCTGGTCCCAATGGCTGTGTTGCGACAGGATGCTTTAAGTATGTTGCATGCTTATGATGCAAAACATGGAACGTGTGGAATAAATTTGGATAGAAACAAAAATGGTGTAAAAAAAAAAATTAAAAATAGTTGTTGCAGACATTTTTACAGACATGCAGTGAGTTTGTTTTGTCTGGTATGAAACCCAGACAACAAAATTTAGAACAAATAAAAAATATGTCTGCAAGAAATTACATTTTCTGGATGTAATTAAGTGGTTTCATGTACTGGCTTCATGTTTCAAAATGCCTGAATGCCATACAGGGGTCCCCCGTAGACTTCAATGTGAAATAAAAAATAATTTTCCAAATGCGGAAAACTTCGCTGTGAATTTTTCTCAATGTAAAATATTTTAATGAAAGCCAGATACGAAATTGAGAATAAATAACAAAATCTGTCTGTGTCAGAGAATAAATTCTTGAGACACAATCAAGAAGCAAGTCATGTCATTGCAAACCAGTGTCATGCTGAATGGTGTCATTCGAGAATCTCGAAAAAAATATTCTATTGACGTTTTGTCATAAATTGGACATTTTTCAGGCTGTATGATTTATTGGATGTTTGGGATACACAGTACTAGATGTTTGAAAATTCGAAAAAAATGCTGTTATCTTTAAGCCTACAGCTATGCGTTCCGAAGGTTTTCAAATTATTTTGAAAGATGTGAGGGTATCCAACTGCTGGTGGATTCTCTCTCGAAAACAAAATTCGAGGAATCAGAAAAAAATATTTTTGCCGAACGAATTTTCAAGAGAATCTCGATAATATGGGTAGAAACTTCTTCGAGGAACAAAAAAGGAATCGTCGTACAGAGAAAAATCATCGTAGAAAAATTTTTGTAGAGGGAGTTAATCTGTACCTGCTGGCATGCACCGATCTACGGTGTACTGTATATGTATACAGCACTGTACATCTTGTATATACGGTGGGACTCCGAAGTGAATAAGTCAAATAGAAATCATCCATTTCGACTGAACTCTCCGCGGAAATACGATTGGGGGGGGGAATCTGGTAAGGTATGCATTTACCTGGGCTTATAGGTGTGTTGAGCCGACCTCGGGGCCCAGACGCAGGGTCGTGGGATCAGTAATAGCGTGATCCTCCGTTCTCAGTCGCAGGAGCTTGCAGCGACGCGCGGAATGTACCGGCTCTTGGGTTTCCCAGCCGTGCAGACGACCACGCCTCTTCGTGATCAATACGGGGGTTGACAGAGGAGTGAAACGCACCGGTGTTCTTAGACTCGCGGACCCGGCAACAATAATAAAAAGCTGGACTTTAAGTTGAATTGCTGTATGGTCCTTCGATTCATTGTGAGACTCAGACGTTTAGCGTCACTATCATGCATCGATATGGGATGCAGACTCTATATTGCTGACACTGCAGAAGCCGGGCACAATTACCAATCTTATTTCTGATAAATTAATGCTTGACTTCAGAATTCTGTATCTGATCAAAAAAAGAGTGAAGCAGCTGTTGTACGAATCTTAAAAGACCTAATTTTCTTCACACAATACCCCACACTACTGTACAAAGGATAAACATGTTATTCTACAACGGACGTTTAGTTCGAGTCATGGGTGGGCAAAGGAAAATTCATTTCAAAACTTCGGCACTTGAAATAGTTCCTCTTTTTATTGATACATTTGTACCCCCCTCTCCCCTTTGGATTTAAATTGCTTTGCCATTTGCATACGCAGCTTCAGAGAAATGTGAACAAGATACTAGCTGTAACATCAAGTGTATCTCTTATGTCCAATACCATGAATAAGGAAAGTGAATCAAGAGCAGTTGCTGTGGAAATGAATTGGACGTATTGTTCAAGAAATATTCATTGAAACTGGTAAACACTGTATTGAAGATCGATTTTTTCATGAAGGGAGATCAGGTAATGCCACTGCTGGAAGGTCTTTCAGAATTAAAAGAATACTGTTTATTATTTTATGAAGTTTCAGAACTGCTGTACCATCTTCCATACATTGAAGTTTAGTAGGTAAACTCTTCTCTGCAACAGCTTTCAGGATGCCTAAAGTGACATAGCCATTAAACAGGAGAGATATTATTCTTTATAGAAGCATGCCTAAGCATTGACATGATAAGATTCACAGCATCTCATCATGGCTTTTTCAATAAGACAAAAAGAAAAAAGTTTGAATGTGTGAGAACCATGATTCTGGTATACATGCGAATTTATTGCCATATTGCATTATATCTACCAGTAAATACATTTAAAATTCAACATTGAGAATTGGGATAATTTAATTTTTTTGTGGATTATGTGATCCTGGCAGTGTTACCTGAGCAAAACCCAGTGAATTATCAGTTATGCATTGACTTATTGGCCAAATCGAAGTATATATTATTAACTTTTGTGCGTTTATAAAAAGCTGTATGTTCAGGGAACATATTTTATACGTGTCTAAATATGCTGCCATTTGATTTTCAACGGGGAAACAAGGGGAAATTTGGGATTCCATTGTAGATTCTAAATTGTTTTATATGTGCATAACGCGCACCTGCCCTCATTCCTATTCAGATTTTTGAGGGAAAGGTGCGCGTGTCACGCAGTACGTCGGTTCACGCTGTATTTTGCATTGTCCGGTACTTCTGCGATGCACTGTAGTGTTATGATCGCATTTGATCTGTAGGATGTGCCGAGCTACTGTTCGGTGAAAGCGATACGAATTCTTTAGTGTCTGGGTCTTGCATCCGTAAGTGACCGAAAGGGGTAATTTACATCACGTTACGACAACTGCACCGACTGCTCCGGACGGTTTGCGTAAGCGCGATTTGTGGTGCACGTGCGGTTCCACGACGAAGTTGTCGACCCCGCGTTAGTGGTGCGCCGGTTGAGGTACCGCGCGAAAATGGCTGCCTCCTGCAATGCGCGGTCCATGTGCTGAGTGCCCCCGAAGCGGTCTTGATTAGGCTCATCACTGGGGCCTTGTTGACCGTTTCTTCGTTGTGTTGTGATATTGTTTGTCTGCAGCGTGTGGTGCAAACGTACTGTACATTCTTCCGGTGATCGTGAGACTTTAATCAAGGTTTTAATCGTGTGCGGATCATTTGTTGTGCAATATAAATGTGATGGCTCGCTTCATTTGTTCTTGGCAAGCCACAATTTTTGGGTACTGGGTGTTCGAATCCTCGTTTTACGTGGAACTTGCGGGTTGAGTCAAAGAAACTGACGTGTCTTAGGAATCCGAACTCCGGAGCAGCATCAATGCTTTCGTAGGTCTGTGTTTTTGCGTCTCGTTGTTGGACGTGCTGTGTGATTCGAAGTGTTTTTGATTTGGACGCAGAATGCTTCAAATTTTGAAAAATTTTATTTCTAGATAGCTTGAAATTTAATCAATCTTGTGGATTTGGTGCTTTTAGTGTGTGAGTGATTCATTTACTTTGGCGTTCGCGTCTCCGTCAACGTTCGCTTATCCGTTCTAACCGGTCTTTGGTGAAACACCGAGATGAGCGCCATGAACGGAGCGACGACTGCCGAACCGAACGGCGTGAATGATCCGCAGCTTTCGGACGAGGAAGACGAGGAGACCCGCAAGCTCAAGATGCGCCCCCCAGATATCGACCAAGTACGACGATTCCTCGTTTCTGTGAAGTTTCTCAAGCAATCATGCATTCACGGTACTTTTTTTTTCTTATTTGAAGGACATGCGTGATATGGAGCGTCGGAAGCGCGTGGAACTTATTATGGGTTCCCGAGCGTTCAAAGACGAGCTTGAGAGAATTGTTGAAGTTCAGCTACGGGATGGAGGAGTCAATCCATCCTCCTTACTAGCTCTTCAGCAACTCTACGATGCGACGGGGAAATTTGGCGGTTCTTCGAGAGGTACGTGTCACGATACCTGCCGTACTGCGAGTTTTGTCGAGTTATATACGATGGTATATTTCAGGAAATGTAACAAACATTCTTCCCATCGCCGATATTCGCGGTGTTGACTGTATGGCATATACTAAGGGAGAAAAGCTTCTGCGTTGCAAATTGGCAGCAGTTTACAGACTAGTTGATCTTTTTGGCTGGTCTCAAGGCATCTATAATCACATCACCGTGAGTTTTATTTCCCTATTCAACGAGACTCATATTCTGAGTTCTTCTTAATGTATAGTTGAGGACGAGTCAAGACCAGGAGCACTTTCTCATCAATCCTTTCGGACTGCAATACAGCGAAGTGACAGCTTCGTCTCTGATCAAAGTGGATTTGCAAGGGAATGTTATTGATCCAGGAACGACGAACTTCGGCATTAACATGGCCGGATATACTTTGCATTCAGCGATACACGCAGCTCGACCAGGAATAAGATGCATTATCCACATTCACTCGCCGTCAGTTGTTGCTGTGTCCTCACTGAAGTGCGGTTTGTTGCCGGTCAGCCAAGAGTCGTGCATAATTGGGGATGTGTCCTACCACGACTACCATGGGATTGTGATAGATCCTGACGAGAAAGAATCCCTTTCGCGGGATCTTGGACCAGTGAACAAGGTTTGTCCATTGTGTTTGCTAAATCCAAGTCCAGATGGTAAATTCTGATTATCTTTAGGTGATGATTCTCCGGAATCACGGCGCTGTGTGTTGCGGTGAGACAGTCGAAGAAGCGTTTTATAACTTGTACCACCTTGTCCTAGCCTGTGATGCCCAAGTAAGTCTTGTTGTGGTTGCGTATTTTGCTTACTGTTCATTAATCATGTTTGTTCATCGTCCTCAGATGAAGTTGATGCCGGCCGGTGTAGATAATCTGGTGTTGATCTCCGATGAAGCCAGAAAAAAGGCATACGAGGTAGCTCGTCAGTCGGGGGCCGGTGGTGTCAATTCTAAGGATGGGGAGCAGACCAGCGAACGAAAGAAGTGGCGAGTGGGAGAAATGGAATTTGAGGCTTTGATGAGATCCCTTGACAATGCTGTAAGTCCCAAGAAAAGATTATAATTCACTCTGAATTTTGGTTTGATCATTTACGTTTTTTCCATTTTCAGGGATACCGTTCTGGATACATGTATAAGAACCCGTTGGTGAGGACGGAACCAGCCCGCTTGCGATCAGACGTTGAGGTACCACCATCATCTACTTCGTACACTCATGTGTTCGACGAGGAAGACCTGTTCAAGTACAGGTAGGTAATTTTACGAGACCGAGCTCTCGGATTTTTACGACTTGAATAAATCTTCCAGCCCGTTGAAGAAAGTCCTTGAAGGGAGAAAAGCAGCTGAAAGAACGCGGTGGCTCAATTCTCCGAATACGTATCAGCGTGTCGAAGTACTGGAAACCGGAACTATGGACCCGAAAAAGATCACCAAGGTAGAGAAATGAGTCAGTTGTACTTTCCCTCTTGTTTTATTCCTTCATCACATTAACGGATAGCTGTGGTGATCAAAACCGAAGGTTTTCCTCATCTTGCCCTGTACATTCTGCCGTTTATTCCATGGAATGATTGAGGTTTTCGTTGGAGGAAAAACTGTGTGCTTTTGATTGGAGAAGTTTGTACTGTATTGAGGTATCGTACATAGCATGGCGTCACTTGGCAGCGCTCAATAATCTGACGCGCCTCTTGTCTATACATTTTGATGAGCAATGTACACGGAATCTCAGCACAATCTTGTGGCTTAGTCGCCTGACAGTTTCCAACTTTTGTGTTCCTATCCAACTTGTGGTCTCTCAAAATCGCCCGTTGGCTCTGATGATTTGGCATTCTTGCCGGCGTATTCGCTTGTCTGAGCATTTTAGACTGTATTCGGTTCGGAAATTCGAAGCATGGATTAAACAGTTTAGTTTTGTTTTACATATCTTATGCTGTTCGCGGAAATACAGAGGGGCTTTTAATTGCTTGAAACTCTGGCGTCTTTTTTGATTCCTTCTGTGAGTTTTGTGCCTGAATTCGTGACTTCACTTCGTGGGGGTTGCATTTCGCGGTTGTGATTTTTTTATTGTGTGTTGATCATTCCGGGGAGATCGGAAGCCGTAAACAGTATCATTTTTTGGTATTGGACTTCAGTCGGGCACAATAGTCATGAGAGGAATCAAAGAAGAGCGTTCATTGTTTTCGTCAGATTTTTGTTGGTTTCTTGACCTCCCCTGTGAATGACTAACACATGTGGATTGTTTGATGGCATCGCAGTGGGTTGCTGATCAATCGCCAACTCATTCGACGTCAAACGCGACCAAGGTAGACGATGCATTGCAGTTCGTTCCGAAGAACACGGATCCTAAGGAATTCAAGAAGAAGCAGAAGCAGGTGATTGGAGTTGAATCATCTTCTGGATGATACTTATTCAGATAGATCAGTTGTTGAAAACAGGGTGACGGAAATAATTAATTTTAGAACAAGGAATATCCTCATCAGTTGGATTGAGTATCCAAACCCACAATGTAACGCAATATTTCATGTACTCGTTTTTCCTTTCAGATCAAAGAGAATAGGAAAGCTGGTGGAGTTAGTGCTGGACCTCAGTCTCACATTTTGGAGGGAGTTCCGTGGGATGAAGCCAGAGCAATGCAGGTGAGGTCGATCATCTGTTTCAAGCAGTTGTTGCTCGTCGTGTGCTTTCAAACTTGAGGCTCTCTGTAGTCTATACCAGTGTTTCCCAACCTTTTTTGGCTCGTGGACTGGCAAATTTCCCTGAAACATTCTACAGACCAGCGAACTCCCGAAAAAGTTTCTACGGACCGTCGAAGTTTCATGAAATATTTCCAGATTCAAAAGGGTTTTGCTTGAAAGACTATGGAAGGCATTTAAAAGGTTCTGCTTTTTTTTTTAATGGAAAAAAAGCAGACTTTTTAATGCAAAAATTTTAATGGGCTTGAAGAAAGGTTTTTCAGAATCAAAAATTAAAATAATTCATGTCAGCAAGTGGTAATTTGTCCAAAGGGTTATTAGGAGAAAAGCCTAATTTCATTTTACATCAGATACTGTAATGTCAACCGCCATTGTCTTTTCGAAATTTTAGATAAAGATTAGACTTTATTGCTATTTCTGATGAATTCACCACTTTTTTGAGGTGAAAGCTAGTGCTGTAGATGAAAGCTGGCATTTCCAGGATACCTGTGAAAATCTTGGTTTTCTAGAAGTGATAAAAATTACTGTATATATTTTGTAGTTATATACAGTACTGTAACGCGTCGTTATTTTGTTTTTTCGTCAGAAACTTGTGATACCCGTATCATTTTTGGGGAGGCAGTTTTCTTTAATGATCGAAGCGACTAAACTGATGATTTTTTCTTCAGGATGGCAATATTAGTGCGAATGACAGTGGCGTCGTCATGGTTGGCGCGGCTTCCAAAGGAATAATCCAGCGGGATTTCCAGCACAATGCTGTTGTTTACAGGAGCCCATATGCGAAGAACCCTTTCGATCAAGTCACCGAACAAGACTTGGTCGAGTACCGGGAAATTGTGGAGAAGAAACAGCGTGGAGAGCCTTGTTAGTTTATTCTTCCTTTTTAAATAATACTTGACAGTACTTCGATGATCTATGGCGAAAGAATTAATGCTTGTTCCTGGTACATTAACCCCTTTTTTTCTCTTGCAGTGGATGACACTTTGGATTCCATGGGAATGCCAGAACCTGGCTCTCCCTTTTCCCCGCAGTCTCCGACTACGGAAACGGAAGAAGGTGAGCAACATCTTTCTATGCTTTTCTTCGTTGATCCTAACACCGTCACAGTCCACATTGGGGAAGAGTCGCGCACCGGAAATGAATTAACCTTGTCCAGCGTTTGAGATAATCTTGACCAAAGGCGATCAACCTGTGAGCCTAGGAAGACAATGTATATGAAATATGGAAAAGCATGATTTGCAAGAGGTCTGTGTCCGTAAGTCAAGAGAAGTAAACTTTTTTCCTTGATTGTTGCGACTCGACGGCGTTGAACAGGCATAACATGCTTTTCCATAGCAGTGTATAGTAATTGATTTTACGAAGGGATCCCTCGTGAGAAGTCATTTTATGGTGGACTTCGGTAAAATTGGTTGAGAAACTTTGATCTGGATTATTATTGTCTGGTGAGCGGGTCTTGAACGAGCGGTTTGTTCTTTTATCTCTTCGCGATCTTTCTTCGCGGGTGATCCGAAGGGAGTTCGCATCAGACAACGTTGACTGGTGGTGGAGCAGTGCGTCACACGACGATTACTGTGGAAACGTCGGTGGCGCCATCACCTGGAAAAGTGGAAAAGCACGTCATTTCTCCTCAGGGTCAGTGTTCATACAGAGAATTATTCCTGCACGAATTCTTCGTATTCCCTTTTTCGTTCATGAGCATGATTTTGTGGATGTGGAAGTCCATTGTGTTCCCGTATGTCAGTTGGGGTATTGGCCCGTAACACTGCCTTGATTGAATTCCATGCAGATTAATTCGTTCGTCTGCTACTGTACGCTAAAACTCCGTGTTCTGACTACTAACCGGGTTTCGCCCGGATAATTGAACAGTTGGAGAATTTTTTTACATTTCCAGGATCACCAGAATTTCCTGGCCATTTCATTTGATTTGCATCAAAAATATAATCAAATTATGAATAATAATAAACCTCTGAACCCCGTTTCTTTCCTCCCTTTAAATCGGACTTCGGGCCCGCATAATCAAAGAATAAAGAGTTATTTCGTTAGCGGTTATTTCATTTTTATTCAGTGAAGCTCATAAGATGAATCCGCTGTTGTAATTTCACCAATGTCTGTCGTCTCAGTTTGATTTGTCAGTACTGTAAATTAATGGTTTTGAAATGAGCGAAATTACTGTATTTTGATTTCATTAACGCTATTTTTTGTTTAAAAAAGTAATAATCGAACCCTTGGTTAGCCTATGGTAAGCTTTTCGAGAAGAATCATTTTTTGCACGAGTTGTTGCACGTGTTGAATACGTTTGGAATGTTTTGAAATGAATGCACGGAGTAGCTGTCCGGTTAGTGGAATGCGGTGGAGATGGCGATACGACGGCGCCTTCTTTGGTGTCGTCCTCGTCGACGGAGTCTTTGACTGATGAACAAAGGAAGCGGTTCCAGGAACGAACCGCCGAATTCCGTCAGACGTCTGCTATAAAAGATGGGTCTTTTACCCGCGGAGCCGCCGGTAATAGACCTTTGTGACCATATTCCTCTTACAGTATTTGTTTCCTCCTTGAAAATCTAGAAATGTGCTTGAACGTAGTTCCGTAGACCTGTAGATCACAGTAGTTGCATGATTCAGTTTTGGTCTTCGAATTTTTATTTTGGGCATTTATCTTGGCGTTTTAATAATACAATTGTCAACCATCAGGTGATCGTGATCGCACCTTGAACGGAGATGATCATGACGTCAGCAAGGCGTCAAGAAGTAGTCGAGAGGTGAGCCTACTATTTTTGTCGTACCCTTCTCGTGGGAGCGTTTTAGTCATCTTTAAACCACTCTTTTTATTTGTAGTATTGTGAAATTGAAGTCAGGTACTATACTGTAGTTGGAATTTGGAAAAGCCATCGGTCAACTTGATAGGGGAAAATTTATCCATTAATAACTTTGTTATCTAGTAAGTCTCATTCTGCACAAATGACTACGTACAGTCAAAGCCCGTTAAGACGCCACCCTCGGCAACCGCCAACATTTTGAATGAAACAAATCTCCTCCATAATAAATACCATAGAATCCCTCCTCCATAATGCTCAACCGCCAGCATTAGTGATGAACCAGAAGTGGTGTTTCGTCTTCGTTACAACGCCAACATTGAGGTGGAATTATAATTCTGTCGAGGATCTTGTATTTGTAACAACAAAAAACAATATGATAATGTCTTTTTTTTAATTTCAACCATATATAGACCAAATTTTAAAATTTGATTAAATTGATACAGCAAAATTAATTTTCTGAAAGAGTAATCCATTAATCACATCAATACTCTGAAAAATTAATGAAGTTTCTAGGAAACTTGTATTTCAATTACTTTTGAAGGGAATTTGAGTATTTTTAATCAAATTATTTAGAATGAAAAATTCAATGAACCGACAGAATTGCTCTGGAGTCTGGACAAATGGTGGCGTCTTATCGGGGTTTGACTAATAAATTTGTGAATAATCCACTGTTTGGCATGTAAATGGTTCTCTTCGAAGTTTTGGTTTCCCCCAAGCTGAGTCATGAATGTTTCATCGCTCTTATATTCAGATGAATTTACCAGTAAATATTTGACTAATCTAATGATCGAAAAATGGGTGTACTATTTCGCAAGGATAAGTTTGAAAAGTTTTGGCAGAAGTTATTTTTGAGTGTTGATTCAAGTTCTTTTTTTCATGATGCCGATGTATATATTACCTGAGGCTTCCTAGATTTTTTTTCGCGAAAACGTGTAGCTTTTTCTATAAACCATAATCTGGTTCAACCGTGCGCCGTAGTTCAATATCTAAAAATTTAATCACGATTATAAATTGGCCTACATTTTCAAACATCGCAAGTGTAAGCTTGATATTTGACTGCCTTGAATTTTGCAGGGATCCCCATCCAAGGGAGAGGTTTCCATGTCGGAAGAATCCTCGAAAGCGGACAAAAAGAAGAAGAAGAAAGGGATACGGACACCAAGTTTCCTCAAGAAAAAGAAAGACAAAAAGCCCAAAGCAGAAGCGCAACACTAGTGCGAACCAATTCATTGGCCGCTCTAATCGTTACGGAAGGAGGCAGATTGACGAAGAATGAGTTAAATTTTTTTTGAAGATATAAGAAAAGTTATGTTAGCGTGGGCGGAGGAATGACGTCGAAGCAGAATTTTTCAAAGCAACAGAGGTTTTGACACCTAACGTCCGTGTTCCGTATGTGTCTTGAGCGTTTCTTCTTCTCCTCCACTTTTCTTTTTCCCTACCTTCTTGTTGAGGATCCTGAGGATTTTGCCTGCCGTATATGAAGCGGATAAAATGGTACGTTGCTGCTTTCAAAAATCTCATTTTCATTTTTTCCTGATGAAGATTTTTTTTGCAGGTGCTTCTTGCCGTTTTTTTTTCCAACGGGTTTCCTCCGACATGCTGGACTCGTACGAAGAGAAGAAATATTTCTCCGCGGTAGTCGTTGTTTTGTATTCGTATTCCTTGGAGAATTTGGTTTTCTTCTCACTGATAGCTCACCCGCCCGAAGACACTGCCAAAACGGAAATGAGTGACTACAAATGCAAAGGAATGCTTGTGGAGGCGGAAAGGATGAGAGCGTAATTTTCGCGGAACTGCATCGCAAAGGACATATGTGCTTATTGAGACCAGGGGACATTTTATTTATTTCTTAGGTGATGAACGCGTTCCTGCAATGACTTGTTCAGGCATCCACAAATTTTTTCCTCGAACGGCTGCTTGCGTGAATGCTTTTTTTGGGTCGGTCGATGCATGTGTTATAAGCTTGGCGGCGTATGTTATTTTTTTCGGTTTGACCCTTTCTTACGATCGGAAGGAATTTTTTTCCGCGATGTTGAATTGGTGATCTATCTTTTGGTCTCCAAAATAACTCTTTGACTCCGCTGTGTGTGAGCTGCTTTTTTGGGCGTGTTGATAATCCAAGGGTTATTGAGAGTATGCAGTAGCTTTTCATCGGGTCGCACCAAAGAGTTGCGAATTCGACGGTGTCGACTTGGTTCAGTGTTGGAATCCATGCTTCTTGAGTAATGCTCGTCACCCGTGTCATCTGCTGAGAGACGGACGTGAGAGAAATGGAGTACCGTATATTTTTCCCCGGACGCTTCAGATGAGATCCTTTGGGTTGCTAGAGACGCTAATGATAGATTATCACGAAGGGGAAGAGAGGAAATCCGTTGTGCACATGGCAGCCTGTACCTTTACTTCCGTCCCGCGCGAGAAAAAGATGTGCAGCAAAAAGTCGCCCACTGTTCACCGTGCTTCCTGCATTGCGGGGATGTTTAATAATTCACTCAATACGGGGATTTCCTCTATACAATTCTTACAACTGAGCATCGAATAATTATATCGTTATCCTCTTGTTAGAATTCCACCAGTGGCCTTAGTCGAGCGTATCCTGCTAGCAATCACCAGCTTTGATGTATTGGTTACAGAGGCAGAAAACCCACGAGAATTCGTATTATTTCTTGAGCGCCTGCTCCGGTTTGAATCCTAGAATGATGTTGGTTCCAAATTGTTTCGACTCGCAGCTCCGAATTTAAAATAGCTCATTTGTCGTAGGACGCACCATTTGTTCGTCCTGTATTCTGAATTGGAAAGGTTTTCGAATTAGAGATACTGTAGTCTGTCATTTTTCTCTAGCTTTCATTTATTCCTTCCCGCTCCTCAATTTATTTGCCTGGAGAGTGAGTCGGGAACCATTCAGTGACAAGAAGTTTGAATTACTGTACTTGCTAATATGCCATTTCCTTTCGACTGAACCAAGGTAACATTTTTGCAGTTGCATGAAGAAGAGAAATCACTGTTCAGTTATATCTGCCAAAGTTTGGAAAGCGTGTGTTGGAACGAGCGCTTTTTAGGCTTTAGTAGTTGAAGTGATTATCTGTTCAGGCTAGTATGCTTTTTTGTAATTGCCCACTTCTGAGTATAGGGGAAATCTCCTGCATATTTCGCTTGATCGTCCTCGCGCATTTCCAGAATTTTTCTCAAATTCGGTGAGTGTTGACTTGGTGATGGCTTTTCTCATCGGTTTCCCCGAAGTCATTGAAATCAAACGCGTGAAAGTTTTTCATCCTCCTAGCTTTCGAGCTTTTTTTTTTAATTCGGGGTGCGAAATCGCCCTCGTGTTTTGCTGCTGGAGGGATCACGTGTAACCATTTGTTCGTGTTCCGTTGGGAGTCGGTCGGAGATATGCGGCTAAAGTGTTTTTTTTTTTTTGCGCTTTCATCCGCCAGGAACAATCGAGGCAGCGCCAAAAATTTGGGAGAGAAGGGAAGATAGAAAGATTGGATTATGAAATTTTTTATGTAGCAGAAAAATATTAGACAAGAGGCGATCCGGACGGAGATTTCGAAGTGGACGGGAGTGTGTCAAGCTTTCAAAGTTTCTGTTCGCGAGTGACAACGCTGTTTTTATTTCCATTGATTCGTTCGCTGTCCGCGGCGACGGAGAGATTCGTATTTCTTCTATAGTGTCGACGTGCAGTCTTCTATCATTGCTTGCAAAAAGAAAAGAAAAAACTTCGGACTATTAAAAAAATTGAAAATGGCAACGAGTACCTTTTCTTCATCGAATGTGGTTTCTTGAAAGTTGTTGACTACATGCTGGTTATGATCTTTCCAATCGACAGATGTCTAGAAGTCTTGAGGATCCTTTCGTTGGATGACTCAGGAAATCGCGAACTAGGATCCCAGGAATCGAAGAAATGCCGTTCCCGGTCATTACTCCTCCGGATGTTGACCGCTGTGGCGCAACCCCTCGCTGAAGTGCATGAAAACCACGTGTCTCAATAAGAAATGAAAGATGCACACATTTGGGAATCATTTTTTCAATGAAAACATCTCCCTGAAGTTGAATAGCCTGAAGAACCTCAGTAAGATGCCATCCGCCAATATTATTGACGAAGAAGGAGATCTTGGGCATTGCTTTTGTCTTCTTTATGCTGCCAATGTTGACTATGATTGCACTGCTGTACAGTTTCTTTCTGCTTAGAATCTTGCATTTTAAAGCAAAACATGATAAAAAATTTTCTCTTAAAAAATATGTAGACGTGCTCGACTTGCATTTTCATCCATTTATTTTTTATGGCAAGAACTACAAACATTGTATGCTATAGGAATTTCAATACGATGCTGTATCGCATCTTCAAAATCCATGCTACTTTAAAATTTCTTTAATTGCTCAGAGCAATTTCAGAAATGAATTCTTCAATTGATCTGCCAAAATTCTCTAAATAAATGGTGTTACAGCATCCTGGTTTGACTGCTGTTCAACGAGCATACTGAGAGATGAAAACAAAATTTGGTGCCTGAAAATGTTGACATGGAGCAGTAAAATATTGTTTCTGCCCTGAAAAATGATCTACGAATGTGCAAAAATAACCTGAATTGTTTTATCCTGTACGGCATTTTACCAAAGTTGAGAAGTTGCTGGGAAGTTTGTTGTGTTTTCTTTTTTAACCCAAAATCTAGGATCTGGATGACATGGTGTCTTTCTAATTCTGCCTCTAGCTCTATGAAGTTGAATAATTAAAATGGCGGCGCTATGAAACTCACGGCGGAAAATGCGAAATGAGTTTCCGATAGTCGAATTTCTGCGGTTAGTTGCAGAGGTTTCGGCGTGGTTGGCGCGCGAACTTCCGCGGACGACGAAATTGAGGGGTATCAGGTTGGTTTCGTAATTTTGTGTACTACGTGTCTTTTATTGTAGCTAACGTGTGAGAGATCATTTCGAAAAATCATCGTTACCCAAGAGGGGTTAGAGATTTTCTGAAGCTTCGAACTTAGGTTAAAGGCATACTTTCATATAGTATACCAATGAACAGTGATTGTGATCAGGAGGCAGAAGTACTTTATCTCCGAATTTTTCTGATTGCATCCGGTTCCGTTTGTAAGAATATCGCGATGAAGCGACAGAAGCAATTGTTGGTCAACACGACGAGGACGTATCAGCGTGACCGATCCAGATGCAGATTCGGCAGGGATATCGACGCCGTACGGGTCCAGTGGCCGAAACAAAGAGATGCGCCAGATCCTTTCGCTGACAGCTCGAGTAATTCGGATCAAAACCTTTTTCCGGAAAGTTTGTTATCATCCGCATCTTTCATCGGGTCACCTGATAGTTTTGACAAGTTACATGACCCTTCCTCCTTGTGAGTATTCATTCATGTAACTCGATAATTTTGTTGAGAAATTACATTTATTTGTAGCATCAACATTCGCTATGCACCAAAGATGCGGAAAAGAGCTCGAATGCCTAACTACTTCTCACCTACGACGGAATCAGAAGAAGATAATACATATGTCACGCGGGATCTTGAAATGTTCCCGGAAACAACGAAGCGACGGAAGAAACCCCGCATCAGAAAGATTGCTGGGAATGCTCCCAAGATCGTTCATGAAAAAACTGACTCTGGCTTTCCGTCTGACGGTGTTGAGAACTGTTACGGAATAACCAGTCGCCGACTACCACGTAAGGCCAAGGCTTCGGAAAATTCTGTGCCCCGAACACCGTTGCAGTCAAGAAACGTTAATGTAGTAACAAGCGATGCCCGCCACTGTCGTGCGGAATTGGCTAATTTCGGGATTTCCTCATTGAATACTCACTCCAAGATGTCATGGTATAGTACTTCTGTTACCTGATTGAAGGAGGATGACGTTCATTTCGCAAATTTTTAGTTTGCAGTACGTTCCATCGCCGAATTTGACACCACATGATCTCTCTGGATTGCATCATTCGACCAAAATTTTACAAAGTACGCCGTATCACGGCCAAGCGAGCACCTTCCAATCCCTGATATTCTCCTCAATTAAGGATGCTTCAGGAATTGTTTCACACGAGAGCTATGGTTCACCATTTTTGATGCCCAAACAAGTCGCTAAGTAAGTCTAGTTTTTGTTTATATGTATTGTTCGATGCAACGTTTCCTACTCTGCCTAGAACTGGTAAAAGTACGTTGGAGTCTTCGTGTATATTGCGGAATGACATGGAGCACTTCGAGAAAATGGACGAGAAAACGGAACCAATGTGTGATGATGCTTACGAAGTCTTGGAGAATGCGCCGGTACGAAAAAGATCTTCTTTAGGTTAGCTGTTGATTGATGGGAGTTATCTTCCTGATAGTGTGGCGAAATCGAAGGAAGCCCTGCCGTGTCCCTTGCGGCGGTCGCCGACCAATATTTTCCGAACCTGTCATTCCCGTTGGACCTCCGCCCGCAAGTTTTTATGCAGAATACCATCGGGTGTGAACTCGAAGGTCGAATTCGTTTTCAGCGGGTAAGCTTGTTTATTTCGTAATATGTTATCTTGTTCAAACTAATTTTTCGCGGAAAATTGAAGATATGATCGATCAGAAATCGGTTTTTAAAAAACTTCGTTTTATTGAGGACAATTTTGAATGTGTTTTTAGTGCGATGATGTCAAAAACGAGGAACGTGGAATATGTTCTGTGGAACAGAGAAACTCTCCGATCTGTTCAAAAGAAGAAAATGTGGACAAACCGAACACTTCATCGGCCGTTATGATGACTCCGAATGTTTCCTCATTGAAGAGCTGCGAATTCGTTGAAAGCTCTTTGAAACGTAGCCGGAGGAAATCTCGATCTTTGACACTCAGTTTGATGAAGATGAAATGTACTGTTGAGCTGAGTCAACTGGATATTGAAAAATCCTTGCGAACAGTTTCTTTCGAAAAGCGTGTGTCAACGCTGAGAGAAACTTCGGAAACTAGTACAAACTTTGAGGAGCTCCAGTCAGACTTGAATAGACCTTCGGCTGCGTTGCAGAACGGTGTTAGCGACTTGAAACCATTAAAGATTGTTTTGCGCGACTGTTTTCATTCTTCTCTCGAGTCAAAAGAAAGTAGCAGTTCGTCGTTCGATTTACGACGTTCCTTGCGACAGATCGTTTCTCGGAGAGGTTGCTCTGAAAACACTTCTGTTGCTACGCCGAGTATGGCCAAGTCTTTGCAGGCTGACGACGAAATTTTGCGAGATGTAAAAAATGTCAGGAGGCGACGATCTTCCCATATAACCTTTTTACGTCTGACTGACGAGAAAGGTGAATGGCCGGATCATGCACAAAATGTTTCTCCCGCGAAAGATCAAGTAATCGACGACGTTCCCCCGGAAACGTCAAACTTCAAGATTCCTTCTCTTCCTGCTCCGAAACCACTTGCAGTGAAGAAGCTTCCCCCTGCGAAGTGGAGGTTCGTGAAAAATATCTCGTTTTACATGTTTGTCCTGCAAGTGTTATTACAAGTTTTTTTCACTTTATGTAAGAGTGTTTATTTGGATGAGGGTAGATTTCTGTTTTTCTGAAGAGTTCGAAAGCTTTCATTTATGCTTTTTCATATGTTCCTCATCATAGTTTCATGAAAGAAAGTTGTTCGGAAATGATCGTATCAACCCTTCTGTTATTTTCAATTGAGGAAATGAAAGTCCTAAAACCGATACAAATAATGTACAGTACTGTGATTTTGTTCCGTTCGAAATCAACTAGCTTTGCATTGGTCGTTGTACTTCACAGCTTATGTCTTGATTTTGAAATCCTGTATGGTACGGTATTTAAAGAAGCAGACAATTGGCTGAATGTATAAATCGAATCCCTCTTGATATTATAATTTGAAAAGAATGTCACAATAGATCTATCGTCTCCAGGATTTGATCGAAGGATTTCAGTACCTGTCATTTGCAACCGAAGACACCGTTCGCTGTTCCTTTGGCTTACGACCATGTTTTTTTGCGCTTCCAGGTGTCGTTCGTCGATGCGGTTTGAAAGTCCGAAACCCAAAGAATCAGTTGCGGAAGTTCCATCGAGGAAAGATAAGTCCGAAGAATCGCGAAACCAGCCCTGGGTTTCATTAGCGCAATGTCTTGCGTACTCGGCTCTTGATCCGGAATCAAAGGAGTCAGAAGATCTACTAATCCATGCAACCCACGAAAAAAGCGTCAAGACCTTTTCCGCTTACGTTCAATCTCTGTGAGCAACTTTTGGGATCTAATTTACCAAATATTGCTTGATGGAAATTGTTTCATTTATGTTAGGTTTGCGTGCAGACCCTAACAAGCTGTTTCCTTTTCTAGGTTTAAACGCGCAGCAGAAAGTCGGAAAGTGGGAGAAGGAACTTACGGAGAAGTATACAGTGTTCAGCTAAAAAATTCGGAAGATTGTATTGTCGTGAAGATTTCTCCGACTGATGGGGATGTGATGATCAATGAATGTTTACCGAAGAGGATCTTGGAAATGACGATGGAAGTTTTAACCACTGGGTACGTTTTCTGTGCAGTTATCTCCTTCAACAGTCATACATGTATTTTTTTCTCTTTTGCAGAGTGATGAGTGATTTACGTCATGGTTTACATAATCGCTGTGCCAATTTCGTGTCTCTCCAGAATGTCGTTTACTTACAAGGAAAATATCCGAAACGGCTTCTTGACCTTTGGGACCGGTTTCGAGAGGAAAAAGGTTAATAAAAGGCCGACAGATGTCCTATCGATTTTTGGTTCATCGTAATCAGCATTTCCTTCCGGTTTTATGCAACCCAGTTTTGTCATTCTCAAAAAGATTTTGAGAACGTCATGGGACAGCTGAAAATGCTTGAGAATTACCCCTGTCGGAATCCTGTATGTGTTTGTCGTTCTTCCTTGAATTGATGAACTTACAATCGCGAGTGAAAATGCGGAGCAGACTTCTCCCATATTATATCGAAAATAATGTATTGTTGTTTTCTTATCTATTTCAGAGACATTGAATGAACGGCCTTGCAATTTTCCTTTGAAACAACGTTACGTAGCCGTGGAACTGGAGCATGGTGGAACAGATTTGGAATCTTATACGTTGAAGCATGCTTCTCAAGGTGTGGCGGTACTGCTTCAAGTTGCCGTTGCTTTAGCAGTTGGGGAAAGTGCGGTTCGTTTTGAACACCGAGATTTGCACTGGGGGAACGTTCTTTTGAAGTTCACTGAAAAAGTAAGTTTGAAATCTGCTTACCATCTTCTTACAACGGTCGCAAAGACGAATTAATTTTTCCTAAGTAATGCACAGTATTACAGTATACAGTACTGTACTAATTTTATGCAGGCTGAAGCCGAATTCGTCCTGGATGGGAAAAGAGTGAGTGTGCCGACGGAAGGCGTTCAGGTGACTATCATTGATTACAGCTTGTCACGTATGCAAGTTCCCGATGGGGTTGTGCTCTTCAACAAGCTGGATGAGGATCCTCTGCTTTTTGAGCATTACGATCCTTGTGAGCCGCAATTTCAGGTTTACAGGGATATGCGGGATATCACGGGGTGAGATACATTTTTTCATTTCAACACTTTTCCCTCATCTTTCGGTACTTCGATTTTTCTTTGAAACCTGTCTCAAAACTTGTCAGAAACTTCGTTTCACAGGATTGAACGGCAATTTCCATCGATTCCTACATGACAGTATCTTTTCAACGTTTTGCAAAGACGAACTTTTAAAATGCTCACTTTTATTAAAAATTAGATAAGCGAGGAATAATATGTCTTTTTTTTACTTCTCGCCAGTTTTTCCTCCTTTAATTCCATTCTGCTGTTGTGTTTGGATCATACAAGTTATCCTGAAAACTATGAACGGAATAATTTTCATCTCATGTCCGAGGCTTTGAACACCCGGTTAAAAGAAATTTCTCACACGAATCCTATACCCACGCTGATTTTATTTCTGCATCAAAATTTGAAGCATATGCCTTGAAGGAGCAGTTATATTTTAATTGTTTTCTGGATGTATATTTTTTAATTTCAGGGATCGCTGGGAGGAATTTCACCCCCGTACAAATGTGCTCTGGTTGATGTACTTGGTCGAAAAACTTCTGTATCGGTGCAAGTACGCGAAAACCCGGGAACTGAAGCACAAAACGGGGAGACCGCTTTTGCGAAACTTCAAGAAAGCTTTGGTTGACGCGCAGTCTGCAACCGATTTCGTTATTCAAAATGTTCTTGTATTGTGAATTAATTGCATTTGATTGTGTCCGGGTTGTTATTTTTTAAATGGTACAATCCTGTCAGTAATTTTATTTTTTCATTTTACAGCAGTCGGTTGTTGTGGGTGAAAGTCTTGTTCCCGGTATTGTTCAAAATATATTTCTCTCTCTTCTTATTCATCGATTCCGGATTTTTTTCCTTCCCCATCTGTCTTCGTTTATTCCATTTTAGTTTTGAGGATGTATTTTAGGTGACGTATTGGTGTGACAATTAGGAATGAGTGATTCGGAATTGGACGGTGTTCTGCGCAGGTTCGTGTTTCTCATTCCTGTGTTTACTTCATGTTCACAATTTGTAGGGCTTATTTTTCAAATGAACATTTGAATCAATCTTCAGAAAAATCGCGGTTGCTTCCGCAAGTGGAAGCGTGGAATTCACATTGGAAACCAAATCTAACGTGGAAGCTCTTTTGGAAGAAACCGGAAATGAAGTCGAGGACGCGATATTTTCGGAAGACCAGGATTCGAAAAACTTCGGCCCTCCGTTCGAAGCGGAAGAACTGGTGGCAGTGGGGGAAAAGCTGACTGCCAATGATGGGGTTGTGAAAATTGTGATTAAACCGGGATTAGGTTCTGGTGTTGGAGATGGGGACACTGTCTTTCTGAAGTACACCATGTTTCTTGATGGTGCTGATACTGCTGTCGACACCACGTTTTCCTCGAAGGTAATTTTTGTTCGTAAGTTTTACCAACTAACTTATATTGTTGATGTGGAAATGAATTTATCGTTTGTAAATAAGCGATACTTTGATGACGGTGTAACGAGGAATGCCTTCAAGTCTTTTTCTATAACGGGAAGTTCTTGCGTGTTCAAGTTTCTGCTGAGACTCGAGGAAACCGGTTTTTTAAATGGCTGAGAATTTTCTTCAATTGCAATTCTCTCTTGGAAGACTTTTAGTTTCCTGATTCAGAGCTATCATCACTTCGAGGGTGTGCTTTTGTGGCTGATACAGAAATGCTTGATACAAGAATTATTCTGTTTAGGAAGTGTCAATGTGGGACAGGGTTGACAATGGTTAAACTAAATTGAAAACGGTAGTACTCCCTGTCTGCATTGTCCACAAACAAGCAAATTTAGGTACAGTATATTTCCTCGCGGTTATGGGGTGAAATGTCAATTGTCGGAAAAATTACGGCAAATTTCACGTTTCACAACTTACTTCCATCGAGGATGACTCCGGGGACGGAAGCACGAAAATGATAACCTAACCTTTTTTTTTCTAATCCTCTTTCGTTTGATAGGTATTTTTAAACAGCGTTTTTGTTGAAAACTTGATTTCATCTCACGGTCTTATTTTGGGTAACCCTTTAATTTTACTGAATCTGTTTCTTATTTCAGCCTAGGATTATCTGCATAGAAGAAGGCCATCTTATTGAGGGTCTTCGCATCGCCGTACGAGGAATGAAAAGAAAAGAAGTTTCGTTGATAGTTATACGTTCAGATTATGCTTATGGCGAAGACGGATGTCCACCATTGATTCCAAGAGGTGAAGACTCCTGGTCACTCATATTTTTGCAATTGTGAATATACCCAAAGTTTGTTGGGATAGATTCAAAAATTGAAGTACGATGTCGTGAATATTTCAACAGACACCGCTGTGATAATTCATGCAAAGCTTGTGCGGATTCGACGAAAGGCTGCAGCAAGCGAAACCGGTGCCCTGTCCCTCAACAAGGACGATGAGGAATTCTCGGTTACCAACGAAGCAGCATTCGAGCAGGAGATTGCTAAACTTGTCAAATGTGGGAATGAACTGAAAGCAAAGATCTCTTCAGGTGACTTTGATGAAGCGGTTGTGTTTTTCAAACGAGCTCATCGTCTTTTGGGAAGAATGAAGACTTCGTGTGATGCGGAGAGATCAAAGTGGGAAGAAACGAGTGGGAAAATCTTCTTCATGGGCGCCGTTGCTGCTGGGAAAGCGGGATTGCCGGCTTTGGTTTGCAGCATATGCACTGCAGCTGTTCAACTGGTGACCCTACCTGACAAGCTCCGCGGGAGGATCTTCTGGAGGTTGTATCCCGCATGTATTTATGATTCGAAATTGCCTTCGTGCGTTTCAATCGTTTTCAGATTTCAACAAAATCTATTTTGTTGATACTGTAATTGTACAATCGTGTCTCCGTCACTGGACCTGAGAAGGTTCCAATTAGACTCTTAAATCCCAGAAGTAGAGTATACTGTATTACTTGACGTATTTACTCGAGTACAGTAAATACGTCATTGAAAAAAACGCACCCTTTTTTTCAACATCGAGTGGGAAAAAGATGGTGCAAGGCATAAACGAAGATACAATTTTTCAAATTTTTAAAAGTCTAGATTCGCGTCATAATCAATTCTGTGGGAAATTTTTGACAAATTTCAAGTTTTCAATGCAATTTTATTTTATATTGGAAACAATTTAAAATTAATTCAAGTTGCTTTCAATTCAAGTCAAAATTTTGAATATTATATTTCTTTATTTTCACAACTTCGCCATTTTAGAGCTTTTAAACATGGGGTGCGCGTCACATTGGGGGATATTTTTTTTATCCGGATTTTAGGACCAGACGACTAGTCGCGCATCTTACTCTAAGGCGCGTGGTATTCGAGTATATACGGTAATTAACAGTAATTTATGCTTGTAAATCAATATAGACTGACAAATTGGATCCAGAATCTTTACTTCAACTGATAATCCATTTCAGGTCTATTTTAGAATCTCCCTTGTGTATTTCGCATAAATTACGATCACACAAATGGATGTTTTACGTGCAACAAAAGCGGAGAGAAGAGAACGATACTCGACGGGTCCAGTTGATTTCGCAAGGGTTGGTTTCTCTTTATTTGCTGATTCATCCATGCTACACAATACTTAATTTATTTCTGTAAAGTCCAGTCGAAATCACGGCGTTACAGCAGCTCACACCCACGAGAATGTTTCTATGGTTTGGGGGCTATATTATAGTTTTGAGGAAGTGTTATCTTCAATGAGTATTTGCTGATGAGTAACTCTAACTTGATTGTGTGCATACTTGCAGGTGGGGCGAAGCAGTCGGAGATCTGGCTAATGACGAAGAATCGTTTCAAATGGCACTCGAGAAACTGAGGGTTGCGTCGGAACTGCTTGATGATGACGCGAAAATAAAAATACGGAGTCGAGCGGAAAAAATCCGATCTGCTAGATCAACATTTCTAGATGTTTAACTTTGAAATTTCATCCTTCAATTGTGCTATTTTATTTTTAAAATCCTACTATTACATTTTATTGAACTTCGCGGAAATTTGATGGGCATTTGGAAATAAAGTTAGACTGAGTTCATGAGATGGAACCTCAGTCTGGTTCAAAGTCCATTTTATTATTACCACGTTTTTATGAACTCACTTTCTTGTCTGTCTGTCTGTCTGTCTGTTTGTCCGGATCAAATTTTGAAACTCAAATTTCACTCACTTCCAGACTAGCTAGCAAGCTGAAACTTTCAGGATAGCCTAGAAACTGATGACAATGCAATCTTATGTGAAAAAATTAATTTTAAGAATATTTTTTAAAAAGAATAAAATAATTATAGTAGATTTCTATAATAAAACTTTGAGCAGGTTTTCCTTGGCCCCAAGAAAAAAACCCATGGTGAACTGAATGGTTGCAGAGGTCCGAGTTCAATCCCACCCCCTGGAACATTTTTTTTTCTAATTAATTAACACGTTTTTATTAACTCACTTTCTTGTCTGTTTGTTTGTCCGGATCAAATTTTGAAACTCAAATTTCACTCACTTCCCGACTAGCTATCAAGCTGAAACTTTCAGGATAGCCTAGAAACTGATGACAATGCAATCTTTTGTGAAAAAATTAATTTTAAGAATATTTTTTAAAAAGAATAAAATAATTATAGTAGATTAAAAAATTAATCTAAGAAACCACGTTTTCAAAAAGCAAAAAATAACCTTAAATGTGGTGCGCATGGAGATTGTTGGGAAGAAGTGAAATACAAATGAAATAGATGCGCACCACATTTAAGGTTATTATTTGCTTTTTGAAAACATGGTTTTTTAGATTAATTTTTTAATCTACTATAATTATTTCCTAATTGCGTATGCTCGGACAGACGTTTGTGATTGATCCTGTAAATTGTTATTGATAAAGGCGTTCCTTTCATTTTTGTGTGGGGATTTTGTCTTAAGGAACTTATCTGCTGTTTTAATCCTTCTCCACCTCCATGACTTCAATACTTCTAGATGATTCTTCTTTGCTTGCGCTCATGAATTGTTCAGGTAAAATTAAAACAGTTCGACCTAACCGTGGTCATGATGGGAACGAAGTGGAAACGAAATTTCCTGTTATGTAGATTTCAAGCTGACCGTAAATTCGATTTTCTTCTGTATTTGAGACCTTGCAAAATAAATTTTTTGGAAAATTCATTGAAGTTTTTGATGCCTAGCAAAATCTTTGAAGAATGGATTATTAAAATGAAAGCGTAACAGAGGCAGCTTTATCTTCTTATTCATTCTTGAATAGCTTACTCATCTGAACCGATACGTCGGTGATTCTTACTAAACCGATGGTGGTAAAATGGCGGGATTAAGATTGAGTGCAGTCGGTTTATTCATTTTGAATCGGCCGAATCGATGCTCGTTTTATTTTCCCTCCCTACATCTGAAAATGTACAGTATATTCAGACGTCAAAATGTCGAGGGATGTCTACCAATCGTCGATCAATTATACCCCCATTGACGTTGACGGTCGAGTCGCCCCTCGTTGGCTTTCATTCCCGGCGCCAGGGATCAATAAATGAAGAGCTGACCCGGTGTTTTCCAAGGGGTGGAGTGGAGGGAGCGACGTGCCGATTATGCATGCTTCCGCTGCGTTTTGCCAATTTTCCATGGAATTTCTATTATTTTTTTCCTTGAGTGAATCGTCCGGTGGTTTCGAATAAAGCATTGAATTTAGCATGCGGCTGAATGCTACGGCTTCATTGAAAACGCGTCCGAATTTCGTATGCTGCTCTCAATTGCTCCGTTATAAATATGCATGTATATTTTTTTATGTGACGTGTTATCAACGTTGGGGTGTTCCAGCCGAATTTTCATCACATGAAAAGTACTGTACTGTATTTCATTATTTTTTGGGTGTCGGTAATTTTAAAGCGGAGTATAATAGGACTGAAGAGTGCATCCCATCGTTGTGAATACCGTAAATCAGGATCATGCTGTAAGTTTCATACTTGTTCAAATAATAAATTTGAATGCAGGCGACTTTTCACCCAGAAATTCAAATTTGTGTGCTACAACAGAATGTGCTTGTTGACTGTTTCACAAATACAGTATAATTAATTTAAAAAGGCTTTTGCATGGTCCTGTCAGTTTCTGTTGGTTATAGCGCACTGAATTTGAATTACAGTACTTCTGGATCTCCTGCAATTTTTACCTATGTTGGTGAGTTTATGAAGCTTTCCTTGTAAAAGCTACAATCGCCTGATGCTCCTGCTGTATTTTAGAAAATGAAGAGAGGCTGTAAGTTTTGTTATTGATCCCACGTAATATTGTCCATGCCCTTCCGCAACAGCGTTGCAGTACTGTATTACTTAAACAATTTTTTTTATATTTTCAGGACATACAGTATTTTATCCAAAAAATATATAAACACGCAGCTGAAGTCTAAGAAACTAGACTTTTTCACTCCTGAAAATGTTTGTTTCTGGTGAGCACTTTAGTTCATTGCTTTTCATAAAATTACGTGGTGATTTCTTCAGTAAAAATATCTTGTACAGTATGTTCAAAATGCTGGAAAGCTTTATAAAATCCTCTTTGAAGCTGATTACATGTGCAAGGTCCTTCGGTACATATGGTGATTGTTTATTAAAAAACTGCATCGACAATTAAATTTGCAATGAAAGCATCTCACTGGAAATTGCATTTTTTTATTGAAAACCTATATTAAGCATCAAACAAGTATTCCAGATCATCGGGAATAATAAACTTTCGAGAGAATATTAAATAGCAAAATCCCTAGTAACCAGCTGTCAAAAAAGGCAAACAAGTCCACAAAAGCAAAAATTACGCAAGTAATTGTTCAACACTCAACTGTGCTGTTTCCTCAATATGTCAAAGGACAAGAAGTTCAATTGTCTGAATAATAGGAATTTCCATCATACATTTTCAGACTTGACACTGCTCTCTATGTGATGCAGTTGTGGTATTTCAAGCGACCTTTGGCAAACCAAATCAGGATTTGTTTGACCCCCGAGCATCATATCCTACTGCGATACTGTATTGAAGCGGAAGACCTTGGGGAAATTTACGGCTCGAGGCCCACAGCACACCAAATTTCGCTCATCCGGCCTTGCTCTGTTCGGACCATCCAACGTCNACGCGTCCGAATTTCGTATGCTGCTCTCAATTGCTCCGTTATAAATATGCATGTATATTTTTTTATGTGACGTGTTATCAACGTTGGGGTGTTCCAGCCGAATTTTCATCACATGAAAAGTACTGTATTTCATTATTTTTTGGGTCTCGGTAATTTTAAAGCGGAGTATAATAGTACTGAAGAGTTCATCCCATCGTTGTGAATACCGTAAATCAGGATCATGCTGTAAGTTTCATACTTGTTCGAATAATAAATTTGAATGCAGGCGACTTTTCACCCAGAATTTCAAATTTTTGTGCTACAACAAAATGTGCTTGTTGACTGTTCCACAAATACAGTATAATTAATTTAAAAAGGCATGGTCCTGTCAATTTCTGTTGGTTATAGTGCACTGAATTTGAATTACAATACTTCTGGATCTCCAGAAATTTTTACCTATGTTGGTAAGTTATTTATGAAGCTTTCCTCGTCAAAGCTACAATCGTCTGATGCTCCTGCTGTATTTTAGAAAATGAAGAGAGGCTTTCAAGTTTTGTTATTGATCCCACATAATATTGTCCTTGCCCTTCTGCAGCAGCGTTACAGTATTACTTAAACTTTTTTAATATTTTCAGGACATACAGTATTTTATCCACAAAAAAAAATATAAACACGCAGCTGAAGTCTAAGAAACTAGACTTTTTCACTCCTGAAAATGTTTGTTTCTGCTGAGCACTTTGGTTTTTTGCTTTTCATGCAGTTACGCGGTGATTTCTTCAGTAAAAATATCCTGTATGTTCAAAATGCTAGAAAGCTTTAAAAAATCCTGTTTGAAGCTGATTACATATGCAAGGTCCTTCGGTACATATGGTGATTGTTTATTAAAAAACTGCATCGAAAATTAAATTTGCAATGATAGCATCTCACTGGAAATTACATTTTCTTTTATTGAAAACCTATATTAAGCATCAAACAAGTATTCCAGATCATCGGGAATAATAAACTTTCGAGAGAATATTAAATAGCAAAATCCCTAGTAACCAGCTGTCAAAAAAGGCTAACAAGTCCACAAAAGCAAAAATTACGCAAGTAATTGTTCAACACTCAACTGTGCTGTTTCCTCAATATGTCAAAGGACAAGAAGTTCAATTGTCTGAATAATAGGAATTTCCATCATACATTTTCAGACTTGACACTGCTCTCTATGTGATGCAGTTGTGGTATTTCAAGCGACCTTTGGCAAACCAAATCAGGATTTGTTTGACCCCCGAGCATCATATCCTACTGCGATACTGTATTGAAGTGGAAGACCTTGGGGAAATTTACGGCTCGAGGCCCACAGCACACCAAATTTCGCTCATCCGGCCTTGCTCTGTTCGGACCATCCAACGTCGAAGAATTTACGCGCGCGTGTTCCTTGACTGAAGGTTCGTTGGACCTTGAAATCAGCCGGATACGCTGAAATCCACGCTGGCTTTTGCCTCGCGATACAGCACGCAGAAATGTTCCGCATTGAGCCCGAGAGAGTGCATGAACCAAACGTTCATTTTTTCCCCTGCTCCTATATATACATACAAAGATCCTGTTCCTTTTCGAAAAGAGGGGTTGAATTTCTCTGAAAGCGAGTCAACAGCGGAAATCGCACGTGTTTTCGACTCAACCCGTTGAATTTCACGCCGCAGCGTCTCGTGTATATACTCTTCATGTGCTTTTCTGTCTCTATTACTTGACTGCACCGGCTCTCACTCTGTTTTCGGAGAGAATCCTGCGCTATTTTTATAACCTCCGAGCCGAAAGATAATGTCAAGGTCTCTTCGACGTTGAAAGGAATTTCGGCAATTTTTGGTGAAAGAAATAATAGTTTCTCCAATATCTGTGAAGTCTTTTTTTTTTATCTTGAGCGGGTTTCTCTGGACCTGGAGCAGAATTAAGTTGATTGGTTTTTTGAGGTGCGAGACCAGCATCATATTGGTTACCAAAAGAACTTCAACCAGCCATGGGAACGGCTGATATTGGTAGAAAGTTAAATTTTAACTTTCACTTTAATTACAAAAAATGAATTCAACTCAGCTTTGTTCAGGATAACAGCACTCACCTAAATTCAACGCTCTTTTGATACGCCTTCAGCTAAATTTTACGGCCCGTAAATTTTGATTCACTGAGAAAAAGAAACTACATAAGGCGGTCTGTTTTATGCTGTAGTAAATTTTTGATGCATCACAGCAAGCGATTATATAGGGACTGGGATAAAATCTCCATTAAAAATAATTTCTTTGACCAGAATCCAAATACTGTACTCGATAACAATTGCATTTTGGGGCATTCCTTATAATGCAAATTTATTGAAGAACATTTTAAAATGGATTGCGCATAATTTTACTCCGAGCATCTTGATTTTTCTCCGATGTCACGGCAAATGAAATTCGAAATTTG